AACTCACAAAAATCCTATCTAGATATACAGATTATAGACTAAGGCAATCATTTTGTCTTCTCAAAGCCCCTTCTAACTCTGACTCAATCATTTTATTCTAATTAGGGCTCAGTGTTCTTTGTAAAATGTATATTTTTTCTTTAGCCAAATGGGAATGTACCAACTAATTCTAAAGTTTACTTAAAAATTTTTTTTTCTTCCTCCTCTAAGTGACAGAATTAGTAATTTAAGATTAGCCTTCAAGAAGTCTAGAAAGCATTTTGAAATGAGTGGACTCTCTACTTTTTTTTTCTTCTTTTTGGTAATTTCATTTCATTACAATGTAAGATTTTAGAAATGTAAACCTACAGGATATTTTTGAGAAATTAATATCGTTTTTAAAGACAATTGTCACACCTCATAAATTTAAGTATGTATGCGAATGTGAGGGAACGTTGGCTATTTCATAAGTAAAATACTTTTTTGTATGATTTTCTTTCCCCGCTTATACCTTCACTTAGCAGTATGCCTTCTTTCCTATGACTGTCACACCTTTTTATTTTATTAAATGAAATATTTCCTTTATTAACTTAATGAGTCGGTAATTTTCTCAATAAAAGATTTTTCACATTTGCAAATTAGATCTTGGAGTCAGGCCCAGACACCAGCATAGACTCTGAAAGGGCAGGGACAAGGGCAGGGAAGAGTTGCTGGAAAGAGCCAAGCTCTCTGTAGGCTGCTGCAGAGCTGTTCAGGGGTTCTACTGACCTGAACAAGTTTTCCAAGAGAAAGCTTTCTTGCCAGCCTCACTGGAACCTTGACTCAGTCTCTAAGTAACATGAGATAGTCAAAGATAAGGTTTGAAGATTTGATTCTGTGTTAAGTGGAGCAAGCACCTGATGTTCTCGCGATGCTGAGGCCACTGTGCAACTCCAGGCTGTAGAAACTTAGAGACTGAAAACCTACTACAGATCTTGGAATCCACAGACAAGTCCAGACAGGGCCTTGTCCATTGTGCCCTATATATCTACTGGTTCCACTTGGCCACACTTGCATTCACGTACTCCTTTCTGTGATGTCAAAAGATCTTCATTTGTGACTCTAAAGAGGCTTCTTGTGTATAATCAATTTGTGTTTGTATCAATGTATTGCAGCAGACTGGGGGCTTCTTGCCCCCCTCCCATGTGTAGTTTTCCTCCTTTATATCAAGCAATGTCTGGGAATTGGGGTGTGTAAATCAATCCCAGTTGCCTTAATGCTAACTCTTGAATAAGTTATATCTTTTGCCACTAGAGAAGTACCACTAAATCATCATCACTAAATAATTTGGCGTGTGTGTGTGTATGTGTGCTTTCTTCTATTACCTTTCTCTGATTATAAAAGTAGTTGTACTCATTTCAAAAGTTTATAAAATGTAAAGAAGAATAAAGCCCTCTTGTAATCTTCCTCTCACTAACCTCCTCAGTTAACATCATAAAGTCGGTGCTTACTGTTGTGTTTTCTATGCATGTTATATTTTACCCAGTTGAAATCAGACTATATACAAATTTTCTTTTTAAAAAATATTCACACTTGTGCTATTAATATTTTTCATATGTCTAAAAAAATGACTCTAGGAGAACAGTCGTGTTTTTAAAGATATATTGAGTCTCAAATTACATATCTATTTTATGCATTTGTTGCATTTTTAAAGCAATATTAATGGAAATTATTGTGCTATGGCTAATATACTAGTAATTAGTTAGACCAACTGCCTTTAAGCGAAGCACTGAAATATTTGTCTGTAAATAAATTTGCAATGATAGCTCACTAACTCATCACTGAATGGTAGCTGAATTTCTCCTGATATTTTGTCCTGGATATAGAACGGTGTTTCTTAACCTTTGTTTGGTCACCAACCCTCCAAAAATTCAATGAAAGCTATGCACCTTCTTTCTGGAGAAATGCATATTCACACCAAAAACTAATTGTAATGATAATCAATTGTGATATGCCAGGCACTCTGCCAGCTGCTTTACATGTGTTATTTCATATAATCCTCATAGCAGCACTATAAGGAATGCACTGTTAGCTTCATTTCTGAGATAAAGATATTGAAGCTTTAAGAAAAGTAAGTAATTTGCCCATGCTAGTAACTGGGGTTCAAACTCTGATTAATTATGATTTCAAAGCCCATTTCCTCAATCATTGTGCACCGGATTTTAGGAAGCTTATAAATTCCAAAAGCCTGCTGATTGATGTTCATGTTGAGGACACCTTACCTATTGCAATCCAAAGATTTTTATTTGGCAGTGAGGAATGTGTATAATTAATGAATCTTGCTATTTTTGTAACTTATTTAATATGTAAATATGTGTTGAACAATTACTATTTTGAATACCTGTTAGCTTCTGTGATCCGGTCCTTATCCCTAAAGAGTTTACCTGGGAAGACAAGAATGACATAAGACAATGAGAAAAATACAAATATGAAGTCGAATATACTGTAATTAGACATTTCCATAAGCTATACATGAAAATTAATCTTTTTCACACATCTTAATGCAATTGTCATTCTTCGATTCTCTAATTTGTAAAAGGAAAATCAAATCTAAAAGGCCCCTAGGAACCTGGAAGATTCAGTGTGTCATAAAAATGAGGTCTGTAAAGTGAGACTCTGAAAACTAAATATGTATCACATCCAGATTCCTGAGTGGTTTCATCAGCATCATCTGTTAGCCCTAGGGAGCATGCCCAATTAGGAGATTCAAGAATGTGTAGCCAGCTCTCAAACCATGTATCATGGAATAATTCTGTTGAGTTGGACATGTGTAGGCAGAAGAACACCTTGCTCGTCACTGCATTTTTGACTCAAGTAGAGTTCCTACTGACAGAGGGGACTGCAATACTGCAAATGATATAGCATAGCCTTGAGTCATTCAGAAGTAGTAGTGATAATCTACCAGCCTTGGATGAAACCATGGGGCATGGGAAGCTTATTTAAGCTGACCACCTGACAATCAAGGCTGTCAAAGAGAGTGGCTGTAGCTATAATTCAAATAACTGCTTTCTACAAGAGCACATTATGGGAAAGTTGTACATCTGACTTGAACAGCTGCTGTATACAAGGTTATCACAGAAAATGGCTATTGTAAGATATGAAGGATGGATTGTGTCACGCTTTCTATTAACAGGGCCCTCATCAAGTATTTGTACACTTTTAAAATTTTACTCTTTTAAAACTTTAATCATTTGGGCTATCTGTATGACAGAATTAATTTAGAAATAGCGTTTGAATTTTCTTTCCAAAGCAAATAGAAACTTAGTGATGCTAATCATGCTATGTAGTTTCTCTTCTCTATTTATGCGTTATTTTTATTTGAAATGTCTAATATAAGAATCTTTTGTGTACAGTTTTATAATATATTTATGCTATATTTTATTTTTATAAATTGTTTTAAATTTTATTTCACATACTGTTTCTATAATTCCTGCAACTTAACTTGTTAGCATTATTTTTTAAAGTGGGGCAAGAATTTTGTGAAAACCAGTGATGTCTAAGAAGCCCTTAAATGGAAAATATTTTTAAAGAAAAGAAATTCCTATCAGTCTTCAAAAATCATCATTTGAATCTATCCAGTTGCAGTTGTATAAAGTAATTTTCTAGACAAGTATGCAAATATCTCGATGGATTTTATTTAATTTCTAAAGAAAAATATAACTCTATAATTTTTAAAATTTATTTCTGGGGGAAAATATAATTGAAAGGAAAACATTTCTTTTCATATTTGCTTTGAGCAGATACTCAAGTTGTTTTTGAGGTAAATAGTAGATTGATGTTAAATGTCCATCGCACTCAGGCTTCACAGAGACAACTTAAGACGTAGTAACTGTCCAACTTTTGAATTTGCTGTGTGTGTGTGTGTGTGTGTGTGTGTGTGTGTGTGTAGGGGGCTTACACAAGACCTTTTGATTTCATAATAAGCAGGGCTTAGGGACAATAAAACTTGAGGGTGTGTGTGTGTGTGTGTGTGTGTGTGTGTGTGTGTGTGTGTGTGTGTGTGTGTGTGTGTGTGTAGGGGGCTTACACAAGACCTTTTGATTTCATAATAAGCAGGGCTTAGGGACAATAAAACTTGACATTCTTAACTGTTAGTAGGATTTGTCCCTATAGCCCTATGCAGTTATCTTCTCGTTAATGTTGTAGAAGCCAGAGTCATAAACTGAGCATGTACCCAAGGCGCTGCTATAAATCGCAAATAGCATTCATGTGGCCTCTTTGACCAAAGACTAAATTGGAGGGAAGAGAAAAAGAATTTTTGGAATTGGAATAGAAGTTGAAGTCTGGAAGAAGAATATAACTAGGAGGATGGACATATGCAAATGTTCTCTAAGTTTTTGTAATAAGATTTATTTAGATTGGCCTTTTCATATCTGCAAATACTTCTTTGCTCAAGAGCCAGACACTGGATTGGGGCAGCCTCTGCTGCTGGGGTGCGTGTGTGTGTGTGTTGGCAATAATGCACTCATGAGATAATACAAATAATCAGTGAGGGAATAATTAATGATGTGGCAGGGAATATTTTTTGATAAATGCTTAGGGAATGAGGTGACAGGCGTGAAATTAGAAAATTCCTTCAGCGATCTAAAATATAAATAGCTTTCGGAACTGAAAAGAGTTTCACAGCTGAAGATTTTATTGTGTTGAGAGGAAAAACTTTTTTCTCTCCCCCACTCCCTCCTCCTTTGCAAGTTGTTTGTCCATTCACAAAACAAATACTCTGAAGCCCAGCGCGGCTCATGGGAATAAATTTCAGGTCGAATTAGTACAGTTTCCTTGCTGTCAGGATGCTGGAATTAATGGTGTTTTGATGACACGAATTTTGAAGGGCAGACAAAGAAGCTGAAGGGAGAGAGACATGACTCCTTAGAAGCATGGTCCTCCTCTCCCCCTGCCTCTCTTGTCTTCCCTGTCATCCGTCTGCCAATCTCCCTGTCCATGGTTAGTTAAAGGCGCTTTTTATCCTCTTTTCTTTCCCACAGAGTTTGCCAGATCCGGCCCGGTGCCTGGGTTCCAGGAGGACACGCTGCAGTTGGCCTTCATCGACTTGAGACAAGTAAGTCTTTGTGTTTTTGTTTTTTGTTTTTCTTTTAAGATGTGTGACTGAAGACCATCAGGTCTTAAGGAAAAGGGGAGGGGAGGGGGATTGGCGTTGGCGATTCACACTGGAGACCTAAGGGTTTTTCTCTGTGTTTGAGGCCACCTCTTTTATTTAGCTATCTGGGATCCTTAGCTATGGTGGAGTTAAAGGTTTTGTGGGTAGAAGGGAAGGCAGGAGGTGGGAGGAGGGACCCAGAGGGTAGAGGGACTCAAGTGACCCTCAAGTGATGTGACCCATTGTGCTATAGTTGGCTTCTGCAGACACAGCAAAAAGATAACTCAGCAAACCAATGCTAAGCAGGTGCACTGATGCAGAGACTGCCTGCCCGGAGAACTTTTGTTTGCAGATAATGAGGGCAGCAGCTTTTAAGAAAAATGAAATATTTTACATTCTGGATTGTTGGTTTGGTATGTTGACTTTTTTCTCTTGCCTTAAGTCTTCCGTCCTTTCCTTTGTGGAATATGGTCAGCCATGAGTGACTAAGTGGTCATTTTAGAAGATGATTAGCAAAGGCCCTAAGCAGTCATGCTAACCTGACAGGCAGTTCTATTAAAGTAATGCGATGAAAGCTGGTCCTTAGGCATACCTGAGCTTTGCAAGCCCATCAGGTTGAAAGAGTCGTTCCACAGGGCTGTTGCCTGCAGACCGAAATGGTGGGTCGGTAGGCCTTGGTGGTTTGGGTATAGAGGAGCAGGATGGGCGGGGGCCTAAAGAGGGAGAAAGTTAACTGGGCTCTGTCAACTCTTCACTCTGAAGATGGATGGGGTTGGATAGAAAGTGTGAATGAAGTAAGAATCAATGACTGATGCTTCTCTCCTATTAAAACAATCTTTTTTTTGGTCTGTTTTAAAAAAGGGCCTGGCTTTGTTTCTCCTGCCATAATGATGCAGTGCCTCTTGTTTTCAGAGCTGACATAGTTTGCATTCTGAAAACTTTTAGATGCCCAGGGTATTTCTTAAAGCTGTAGGACCCCTTGTATCGGTAGTCTCCTTACCACTGTGACTTGATTCATGCTGGAACAGCTTTTAACCCATAATGGATGGCCTGAGCTACCCCTGAATCCTTGTGGATGGGTGGTGTAATCTGTCATCTGATGACAATTCTGGAAAGCTCTGTTAAGCAGAAAACAGAAAATTGTGTCTCTATAGATCCGCCAAAGTTTGAGGATTCAGGCCGCGTCCCAGAAACGTGTGTCAACTTAATATTTTGGGGCTGAGGTGGGGGTTCTCTTACACATAAAGGCTTTCCCAGCATGGTCACAAATGGAGCTGAGTATTTCTTTCTACACTTAAGCCCTTCCACCTGTGGATTTAGCTACTCAACTGAGACATTTAGGTTTTAACCCCTTCGCTGATGTAAGGCTGAAAGACTGGGATTTTGCTTTAGGGTTTTGTGAAATGGATCTGTTGGACTTTCCCCCTGTTTCTTCTCAGACTTCTGAGCCAACTGGCTTTTCTTGGAAAGCAGAAATTGAATTTCGTTGGAGAAACGCATCCAAAGAAAAAAATTTTCCCTTCTCACTATTCATGAGAAGGAAGTGTGGTCATTCTCTCTAGTTGGTGGTTTTGGTCCCTATGGAAAGCAACTAGTGTTCACAGAAAATGTTAACTATGGGAATGAGTTAGACAGCACAGCCAAAAGAAGGTGAATCTGAGCCGAGGGTGAATGCTCAAGTACTTGTGAGCTGTCAGTGAGCATTTCTGTTTATGCTTACGTTCTTATTTTCTATTACATTTCTGTTCTCCAGATCCCTTTATGTTTTAACAGTAGAACCCAAAGTTTCAAAATTTTACTAATAGTGAAAGACTATGCTTCTTCCCATTGAATCTATCACCTAATTTCTATTTATGTCTGTCTCTGTTAAAGCAGCCTAAATTTTTTTTTAACTTAGATTTTTTGAACAACTTTCCTAGCTCTCAGGCTGTAGCTTACTTTTACTAGGCCTCAGGTAGGTTGAACTAGTGTGAGAAAAATTATTCTTCCACACGCCATGCTGAAAATATTGATCCTTTTGCAGTTCATTTTAATCATTCTCACAGCTTATTTAAAGTGGGCATCTTTTTAAAAGGAAACTGCTTCTTCTGACCTTAGAGATGTTCAAACTATAAATACTGGGAATATGTGTTCAAAGGAGGTATCTTTACCCAAATGAGGCATGATTAAATGTCCTTGAATATGTATCCTTTGCATATACTTTTCAGAATCCTAAAATGGACATGGAATTTGGGGGCTGGGGGCAAATTTTAAAAATCATATAGTATAACCTTTGGCTTGATACTTGAGTTCCTGTACAGCACCCCAGACTGTGCGTAAACATCCTCCTCGAGGAGATCTCACCACCCCGAAGCAGCAAAGTCCACCTTAGGACAATCTGATTATGAGGAAGGTATTTTTTAAGTTAGCTGAAATCTCTCTCGCTTAACTTTGACCCTTTGATTCTTTATGTTTTTATTAACACACCCAAATTTGGGGGACAACCTTTTTATCCTGATTTATTGGCTCCCTATCTGCCAGTAATTGAGACTTTTTCAAATGTAGCATTGTTAATCATTCCTTATTTAGTCCTTATGTGGCTGATTTTATGGACCAAAATTGGAGACTTTACTCCTTTCGGTCTATATTTTTCTCGTAGACATATTATTAACAACAGTATATTTAGCCTATCTAAGTAAAACGTCTTAGGTTCTGATTCATTTATCCACCTTATTAACTGATTTAAACCATTATGCCCTTTATAAGTCAAAGATAAGAATAAACAGGAATGGCAGAAGTTAAAGGAAGAAGTTAAAATTAAGGCAGGTTATAGGGTGCACACCCATGCAGGAAGGGGATTTTTCCCCAGTCCAGTGAAGCAAAGATATTCTTTTACTGTCACCGAGTGTATTTGCCACACTGGTTTATGAGTATATTTATTCTGATCATGCTTTCATGTTCTTTTGCTTTAAAGTAATTCAGACACTATCAATTGGATAATAGTTTTTAAAATATTCAAAACATGGAATATGTGATGAAATCATCTCTCTATGGAGTGTAATAGCAGAGTGTCATTTTAAAGCTATGGAATTTTACTGGGAAGCAAATTAGACATGGATAGCAAAACTATTCATCCTTTCTCACCTGTCCTGTCTATTCTAATTTTCCTGCTTCTTAAGGAAAAGAGTGAAATGACATTTTGAATATACAAGCTTTCATGATATTTTACATTTGTATAGCACTTCAAAGTTATAGTAAATTTACATATATATCTCACTTGTCAGATTTCTAGGTTTAGAAAGCCTGCTATTAATAATAATGTGAATTAGACAGTACAAATCAAAATCTCCGTCTTTGCTACTTTATACTTTCTGCATTTTCAAGTTCATAAAAGTAGGATAGCAGTACAAGCTCACATTCATATGTTAAATATGTGCATATTTCTGTCAAAATCCAAATTTAGGTTAATGCTAAATCTTGAGAAGCACAATTTAAGGGCCCACTTATTAATTACCTTGAAATGACATGTACACTTCAACTATTAACATTTGCTGGCCTAAAAGGGTTTATCATTGAGAATTACAATGCAAGGCCAATCAATAGTAGATTCTCAGCAGTTATTCGATTCTTTAACAGTTCTATGGTTTGTATTTTTCTTCTGCTGTTAAATGTTCAGTAGATAACACTGATGAACACCAACCAGAATATGAGCCTCAGTTGATTTTTATTTTAGTTTATTAAACTCTGAGAGCCTGCTATGAACAAAGCACAACCTAGGTGCTATGGGAATACACAAAGGAATGTAATACAGTCTCTGTCCTCCAGGAGCAAAGAGGTGATCAGCAAATACTTGATTCTGGTATAAGGCACACTGTGATGAGTATTACATTCATAGGTTATAGCCATTGTGTATGTTTCAGTTATTTCTGAAGCTTTTGCTACATAACGAATTACTCCAAAATGCATTGGCTTAAAATGAAAACCATTTATTTAGCTCAAATTTCTACAGATTGGCAATTTACAGTAGGTTCAGCTGAGCTCATCTAGGCTTCGAGATCAGTTTTCTAGATTGTCCAGGGATTGCCTTGTCTAGGATGTCTTGGCTGGGCTGACTCTTCTCTGCTCCATGTGATCTCTCATCCAGCCTAACCCAGGGGCTTATTCACATGGCATCTCGACAGAGTTCCAACAGAGCAAGAGGAAATGTGCAACCCCTTGAGGCCTACACTTGGAACTAGCAAACTCTCTATTCTGTTGGCCAGAGCTAGTCACAAAGCCAGCCCAAATTCAAGGAATGGGGAAATAGATTTCGACTTACATTCTAGTTGGGATATAAGACTTTTATATAAATGATGCGAAATAAACAAAGCAAGTCTAGATCAAATTTGTGTCTATAAATACAAAGAGGCCATGAAATGGAGGGGTCTTTGTAGACCTGAGTCATTATAAAATATCTCATGGAAAAGGTAGAGGGTTAAACTGAAAGGAAGATAGATATTGATGGGAAGAAGGTACTTAAAGCATAGAAAATAGCTAGTTTTAAGTTTTCTTTAAAAGCGTGTGTATTTGTGTACGTGTTTTGACTTAACCAGGATCTAGACTAACTTTCTTCCTTTAAGTATTAAGCTAATTTCTTTAAATCTCCATTTCTTAATTTCTCTTCTTTATTCTTTATTTTTACTGTGCAGCTTCTTCATGTGTCTTTTTTTTTTTTTTTAATGTCTTATGCCTTTCCTCATCAAATGCTGCTTTTTGCAGGCCATGCAGAGACATTTCACATTTCTGTTATTCACATTCATTGTGAGGAACTCCCAACTTCCCCCAGATAATTACATACATTATTTATTTATTTTATGTCTGTTCACCTTACATGTATGACCAACAGGAAAAAGTTTGAGTATGTTCTTTTCTTTAGTAATATCACATTATTTTCTCTTCCTTGGCCCCAACTGTCATTTACTTCCGATATACATAAGTTTTTA